TGGGCTATTAAGAAAAACTGGGCATGCTTTTCTGCCTCTTTAAGATCCTTTGAGGAAATACTGTATATTTTCCTGCCCTTTTAATATTTCCTTCTCTGGGGGACTGACTTCCCACAGATGCAAATTGGAAATTCTTGCCATAATTCAGTAATGAATTTTACTGAACTCCATCTCTAAGTAGCCTAGATACATGATTTATTGTAAGTGATAATGGGAATTGCAGCATAGCATCTGGAGTTGTTGCTAAATCTTCATGTAAATTAAATACCATACTTGCTTGCATCAGAATGGGAAAGATTGTTTCCAGATAACCTGTTCAGTTTGTTTTCCAAATATGGATGAGCAAGTACTTTTTGTCTTTGAAACAGACTTGGACTGAATTGCTTTTTAACCACCTACTTAATAGTAACAAAGAACTGTTCTCAATTAAGCAGAACAATCATTCATCAACAATGTAAGGATGTGCACGGCAGAGGACTTTATCAGGATTGCAATATCTATATTTCCCACAATTCATCTTAACAATTTTTGAAAATTGTATTTCAAAAATGTTAAGCATTTGCTTGTTTCTTTTTCTTAAGAAGCTATTGGAGAGTTTATTAGTATACTGTATCTTAATGCTGCTCTGCACTGATAAGACTCTATTTACATGTCTGGAGGTCTCCCTCATGCCCTTTGAGGATGAAATTTAAGCATGTGGTCTGGTGCAAGCACAACTCAAATATTAGTCAGATTTCTTAGAAACCTGAGCTATTAAAACTAAAAACTCAAAACAAAACCTTGAAACTACAAACTTCTGTTAATCTAGTATTGCCTCAGAGGATTTTAAATTATATTTGTTTCCCTTTATATGTAGAAATAATGTCAATTCACAGAAATATAACCCATGTCCAGCAAGTTATGATTTATAGAAGACATGGAATAGAATCTTTTCAGTGACATACATTGTGGAGGATAACATTTTCTAGGTCATTTCAACTTGCTGAGCTTTCACAGCAATAAAAATATTCTTAAAGTCTGTGCTCTCTAGACACATCGGCAATCAAAACGTATTCCAGGAAGGACAATGTAGTTGTAATAGTTCCAAGCTGTCAGGAGTGATAGCATTTCTAACACACACACCCATGCACACCAGCACATCTGTCTCTTACTTGGGACTTTTAATAGAGCTGTACATTGTCATGCCCAATGGTACATAATGACTTTTTAGAGATCTAAATAGGATATTCCATCCAATTGTTGTTTGGTTTGTACCAAAATACTTAAAATGCTGGACAACATTTGCCTAGAAAACACAGATCTTGTACAACAGTAGTTGTTTTGGATTGAAGAGTTAATACAATGTTACTGTAGTTTGTTAGTACCAAATGGAAAGGAATACAACACTAGTTTGAATGGAAGACTTAATACAGTGGTACTTTAGTTCATAGAAATGACTTTTGGGGATCAGTAAAAGGCAATATTCTGACTCATCCCCATATCTCCTGTTGTACCGATATTTCTAGCAGAATTTGTAGGTTGTTTTGCAAATTAGAATGGTCTGGGTAAAATCTGAACTGTGATATCAAGGACCAGTTTCAGAAAACTGCTATTGCTGTACTACTACCAAGATTCATCCCCATGTGCCATCATGTACTGGCTAAACAGGCTCTCTTAATCAATAGTAAGTCAGACCAGATTCAAATCCCTACCAAAGACTGGCACTTTGAAGCCAAACATAACAACATAGAGCAATCATGCTGATACTGATATATTTTCTGTTGCTTGGAGAGGCAGTCTGTGTCTACCAAGCAAACAGCCAAATTCCTTTCATTGAAATTGAGCTGGTAGCTCACAGAAACACCTGGAATGGCCCAACAAGCAAGTTTGGTGGGTGATAATCCTAAGAAGCACCATAGAATATGAACAGTAGAATATGACTTAGAGTTAAAACAGGAACTCTTCTTGCTGGGAATAACTAAGAAAAATACAATAAGGGAACAATCTATTTGCTGTTACACATCTTGACTGCAGCTAGGCTTACATTTGCGTAGAAATGGAAGAGCAAAGAAATCCCCACAGAGGAAGAGTCACTGTATAAAATATTAGCATGTGCGGAAATGGACAGGCTTACAATGGTTTTGAAAGACAAATGTGGATCAGTTTACTTCGAAACCTGGGAAAAATTTTACCGCTGGAGAGATTCGAGGAGGACGGTTGGGATTAAAGATTAGCGTTAAGATAGAAATATATGTCATTTTAGGATAAGTATTGTATATAAAACTTAGATGTATATTTAGAGATGAAGAGCCGATTGTAAAATGTGGAATAATTTGATAAGAATGTATATACTGGAATGTCACGTTACATCCAATGTTTTTTTAATTGTATTATAAATAAAATTTTGTAAAAAAAAAAAAAAGAATATGAACAGTGGCCATCACATCACGGTTACAATCGTCAATCTACTGGATTATATGAAGTCATGCGTTAGATTTTCTTTGTCTGATTCCCCTACCATAGGATTCATGGTAGGCTATTAAAATTTTACTTCAGTTGAAGCTTGTACAATGTCTATTATCAATTTTTGCAATAAATCATTAGCTGGCTTAGCATGAATTAGGAGCACTAGTCAAGTCAATAGTTTGTAGGCATCCTTGAGCATTAGCAGAAATGTTGACAATGATTCCATTTCCAGTAATTATTTTACCTATGATTTATTATATTCAGAAAGGAAGCCTATGACCTAATTCAGGGGTCCCTAATCCCCGGTCCGTGGACCAGTACCGGGCCACGTCATGCCAGCAACCGGTCCGCATAAACAAGCAAGCTGTAAGATGCAGGCAGCACACAAAACCACATACCTTCCGGTCCACGGAAAAACCTCTCACCACGGAATACTGCCTTAGCTATGAAAGCCAGCTGGGTGACTTTCGGCCAGTCACTCTGTCTTAGTGCAACTTGTGTCACAAGATTGTGGGGAAAACAGGAGGAGGAAGGTGTATCAGATATGTTCGCTGCTTTGAGTTATTTGTAAAGGTTGTAAAGGTTGGGGACCTCTGACCTAATTGTTTGTGCATGGATCTAAAGAGGGAAAAGCTGGGATTTCTAAAATTCTGTTCTCCACATCCAGAGATTGCTGGGTTGGCTGACCAATGTGCCTTTTCATCAGAGGCCTTAATACAGGTCATAATTGCATTCTTCTATCATTGTGTAGTGGAGAACTACAGGTTGAGAAGCTTCCTCTTCCCAACCAGCAATGGCACTGATCCAGGATACATTGATTCCAAATCTGAACATACCCTTCTGAACATACCCTTCTTACAAGTTGACAGGTATAGACAGGTATAGACATTCATACATCTCACTCATCCTCAATAAACATAAGAAAAATATCATGTAGATGCAGAAAGATACCCATGACTCTTTGCTGAAAACAGGGAAATTAAGAATACTTTAAAAACCAAGCAAAAATTGCTGGAAGGAAACTGGAAAATAAGCATAGCTGGGAGCTTCATAATTCTGCGGGGAAGTGAAAAAGTGAAAAGCAGAGAGAGCATCTATTTAAGAGTCCTCTATTTCTATAGAGATAGGTAAGACAAGTTTGGTCTAGTGGTCCGGCACCAGGCTTAAAAAGCCAGAGACTGCAAGTTCTAATACTGCCTTAGCTATGAAAGCCAGCTGGGTGACTTTGGGCCAGTCACTCTGTCTTAGTGAAACTTGTGTCACAAGGTTGTGGGGAAAATAGGAGGAGAACGGTGTATCAGATATGTTCGCTGTCAAGGAGAGAAGCAATCTAGAACTAAGGAGAAACTTCCTGACAGTGAGAACAATTAACCAGTGGAACAACCTGCCTCCAGAAGCGGTGAATGCTCCAACACTGGAGGTTTTTAAGAAGAGACTGGACAGCCATTTGTCCGAAATGGTATAGGGTTTCCTGCCTGAACAGGGGGTTGGACTAGATGACCTTCAAGGTCCCTTCCAACTTTACTATTATTATTATTATTATTATTATTATTATTATTATTATTATTATTATTATTATTATTATTATTATTATTATTACTATTACTATTATTATTATTATTATTATTAATTATTATTATTAATAAAGGCAGGATATAAATAAATACTGAGCCAGGAACCTATGTTAGGTTTTTTTGGCTAAGTGCAAGTCTAATATTCTTTATCTATCCAAGCTTAGTAACTGTAATTTAGATTTTTACACATATCAAGTTGTGCATGAGGATTTTTTTTTCTGTCAAATCTCATATGATCTCTAGAATTAAACTTGCTATCCTCTCTTTCATGTTATGGAGACATGAAGGTATTAAATAAGGTAATGATAATTTTATGGTAGCATATGATAATGAAGAAGGGCTTGTTAGGGCAATATGCTAGAAAGGCATATTTTTATATGACAAACTCTGAAGGAGAAGCATTTTACATTAAGTATTATGTATTATTATTTACACATTAACAACTCATAATGTTGTTCCCTTCCTTGATTTGCTCTGCCCCCTACTGGTGAAAGATTACATGTGCTAATTTAATTGAGATTACAAAATGAAAAAAATCCCTGCATTAAGATAAATTGTCCAAATGTCCAAAACTACAAATCAATAAATCTCGAACGGAAATCCAAATCTGTTAATCATTACACTTTGACCACTTCTAGGAAAAAAAACATATAAAAATCCATTAAACAGCTAAGTTACACCTTAAAGACACGGTTAGACATTTGTTTAAATATACTTAATAAAACAAACCACCACTGCGCTGTTACACGTTCGCCAAATTCCTAAATTAAAAAGGAGCCGAAGATCAACGCGGGCGAGCATGCGCGGTTCCCAGCCCAAGCGCTCACTCTTCTAGCATGCACGCGCCCGAAAGCTTCATTTCCGCAATTCGCGTAATCCGTCTGCCGTGCAAGGGACTCTTGCGCATTTCGCGGCATCTCTGACGTCGGCAGCGTAAAAACCTATGAGAATAGCCGCCGTTGCATTCCGGTTGGATAAATGGACCGACCTTTGGCTTTCAGCAAGTAATAAGCGGAAGTCGCTCGCTTTCCCTTTTCCGTTGGCTTTGGGGATTCGCCGTTACAGCATGGCCACTTCAAGCAGCTTTCGTCTTCTCCTTCGAGCCGCTCCGACTTCTTGCTGGCGGCTCCTGGCGGCTCCCTTCCGGACTGGCAATAGCTGGAGTAATGCCGCCCGCCTTGGGTCTTGCCGGATCTTCCACGCGGCGGGGGGGCTCAGGTAGGAGCTCCGTCCTGTCTTCGCCAAGTCAACCTTCCCGGCCTCAGTTGAAAGGGGGGCGACGGGGACCTCAGATCGCTCACCTCTCTCTCTCTCGTTCCCAGGGAGTTGACAGCGCCAAGTGAGGGAAAATCCCGGGATTGGCTGGTGAAAAAAAAGCTTAGGGCTCGCCTCGGAGCAGTACAGGGGTTTTAAAGTAATTTTTAACTACTAGACCAATTATTAATATTTGTTTTTAATTATGTTTTTAATTTGTAGTTTTTTGGTAGTAGCATTTTATCTGGTTGTTAGCCGCCCTGAGTCCGCAAGGAGAAGGGCGGGATATTAAATAAATAAATAAATAAATAAATAAATAAATAAATACTTGGGCTACGTCAGCTCGAAGGTGACAGAAAGTGCCAACCGTGACTTTGGTCACGGTCATCCACGCAATTGCCTTGTACCTGGGTTGCGACAACGGGTTTTTGTAATATGACCCCGGTGTTGTGCGAATAGGGTTGCCAGGTCTGCTTCCAAAAAATAGCGGACAAGCGGGGGTGGGTGGGTTAAGTAGTAAAAAAAAGTAGACTGTACAGCTTTAGATTACGTACCATTTCATCATAAAGCTTTTGAATTAAAAAAAATGTCCACTATTTTGTGAAAAAAAATAGTGAACATAATGTGAAAAAAGTGGACTGTCCACTCAAATAGTGGACACCTGGCAACCCTATGTGCGAATGCGGCCCCTGAGATCAATTTATAGCTTAAGTGTATTGTGCGAGCCCAGAAAAACCGATAAACCGTGGTTCTATTAACCATTGGCAAATGTGTTCCTACAACAATCTAATCCAGAAGAGAATTTGTGACTTTGACTTTACATAAAATACTTTCACTTAGATTTGTTTACCATTTGTTTATGGCTTAGCAAACTATATAAGCATATAATATGGAAGCTACTAGCTATGCTTTTCAGTAAGCTGCAATTAACTATGCCATGGCCTAAAGTTTCATAGGTGTAGACTAGAGTTTCATCTTATGAGGTGGCTACTTGTTCTGTAAGTGAAAGTTGGATGGTGTAAACAAAATAATTGCTTGTATAAGACACACATGCTAGCCTTTGTTTTTTGAGAGTTAAAGGGAAAGCGAAGTAATCCATGGTTTCTCCATGTAAACCAGGGGTGTCAAACTCAATTTCATTGAGGACCGCATCAGCATTGTGGTTGCCCTGGGGGGGGCGAGTGGGTGTGGCTGGGGTAGGTGTGGCATACTGGGTGGGTGTGGCCAGCTCAAGGTCACTAGCGTCAGGGGCACCTTTGTGGGCCTGGGCAGGACAGGGGCAGATCCAAGGGTCTCTGGCAGAGGGAGTGGGACCGGGGCGAGCGCCAGGGCATGGTTCACTGGAGGAGCCTCACTGTCCCTTTCAGGCCATGCAGGGGGGGGGGGCGTGGACGATGGTATGGACTGCCTGGAGCCCTGGACAGCGAAGGTCAAGCGCCCAGCCCGGCCCTTGAGCTCCCACATCACCAGGACCTCACAGCCTTGCCTAGCTCAGCTGCACTTCCTCAAGGGGGAGCCCAACTGCGCTTACCTTCTCCTTGAAGCTGCTGCTGCTGTGCTCGCTTTCCTTGGCCAGGTTACTCATGGTGGGTGCAGGAGGGCAAAGTGTGTGGGTCAGAGGGAGGCTCACTCCCTCTCCATGCGAGGAGACCTGGCTTTGTAACCAAATCGTCCTCAGCAATAGGATGGGAGACCACCAGGTGATGGTGAAAGGGCAACAGGGCTGCTGATGGTCAAGTGCTAAGGCAGGACTTCCCTCAGACCCTCCCTCCTCTCATTCCAATCTCCCTCCCTCCCTCCCTCCCTCCTTTTCATTCCCATCTTCTTTCCTTCCCTTTCTTTCTTCCTGTTTCCCTCCCCTCCTTCCTTCCCTCCCACCCTCTTTCTGTGCCCAGGAAGGGACGAGGGAAGGGGGAGAGGTTGGCAGCGCTTTTTAATTTCAATTCACACCAATACCTCTTAACTTCCCATTCAATCCAAAGAGTTCTATTATTGGCTGGATTTTAGGAAGGGGAGGCGGCAAGAATAGACCACAAAGCCAATATGCAAGTTTACTCTCTCACCTGCCTGCACACCACCTTCCCGATGCAGCACATGGCTCCAAGCCATCTCCCCAGAAGTCCTTTGAAGATAATTCCATATATTTCTTTCAGGCCTCTCACTTTTCTGAGAATCGCAATGCGACTAACCCGACCCCCCCCCCCAAATGGCCTCACCTTCTCGCTGGCCTTCTGCAAACTGCCTGGCATCCAGTCTTGTCATTTTGCTTCTCTTTGCTGCCAGTGGCCGTGGCTTTCCCATGCAGGGTGGGGAAAGAGAAGCGCTCACAGGCTGTGATGCCAGGCAGTGGGCCATGGAGGTGCTGGTGGCGGGGACGGTGCTGATCTAAACTTCCAGAATGTGGTCAGTTTTAGATCCTCAGGGCCACCCTAGAGGGAGGATCGAAAGAAGGGGCCCAGCCTGCCAGCCCCCCTGGCCTGTGGGATGAAAGGCAGGGAGATGGGAGAGCACGGAGGCACAAGCCGAGCGTTGCCCTCTCCGTCACATGGTAGGGCTGGAGAGGGGAACACAGCATTCACGTGGGATAAAGAGCCACAACCTGGAACTGCCGGCGGCCGGCAACATGTGAGGCTCTGTGGCAGGTGAGAGAGAGAGAGAGATCCCCTTTTTGTAAGTTTGCTTACTCTGCAATGCTTCCCATTCCCCACACTTTGGCTTCCCTGCTGGCTCAGTCTCTCTCTCCCCCCCCTTCTCTCTCTCTCTCTCTCTCTCACAGAGAGAGAGAGAGAGAGAGAGAGAAACCCTTCCTGCTTTCTCCTCTCCTTTCCAGCCACCACAGAGCCTCACACATTGCCGGCTGCCGGCAGTTCCAGGCTGCAGCTCTGCATCCGGCCCCATCGCATGGCGGAGATGGTGACTGGAAGCCGGCCGATGCTCGGCTTGTGCCACCGCATACTCCCATCTCTGCGCCTTTCTTCCCACAGGCCAGCATGCCCTGGGGTGCTAGACTTATAGAACTCCATGGCCCCAGTGAGGAGAGGCGAAGCCCTGCAAAGTGGGGCTGGGCGTGGTGAGGCATTGCCCGGCAAAGCAGAGCCAGACAAGGAGAGACCTGGCAAAGCAGGGTGTGGCCGGGCGTGATGGAGTGAGGCCGTGCGGGGCGGGGTGAGGCAAATAAGCTGCAGCTACTGCTGCTCACCATCAGCCCCCAGTGCTCGCCATTTCCTTTGCGTGTGCTGGGAGGGTGCCAGCCAGGTTGCGGTGGGCCAGAGCTGGGGCAATGGGGGCCGGTCCCTTGCCATTTCTGGAACAGCTCTGGGGGCCAAATCTGGGCCCCTCCTGGGCCAGATCCAGCCCGCAGGCCTGTGTTTGACATGTCTGGTGTAAACAATTCAATCAACAGTGATCATCTTATTCTTTTAAACTGGGCTGCCCAGAATGGGAATTCAAATGGGAGAAGAAAAGATCAAGTAAGAACTTGCCACTATTGCAAGATAACTCCTAAACTTGTGTAATCCACTCTCTGGCAGTTGCACTTTCTTTTTGCAAAGGAGAGAAAAACATTTTCTAAGCATTCCAGATCTGGTCTGGAGGATGCCCCAGTCCTATGGACATGGAAAGAATAACTCACATAAGTTCTGCATATTGGATTCCATCCATGTTGATACAGTAGCGCCTATTTTGTATTTGTGCAAGATTTCTGATTCTTTCAGCTTAGTTGGACTTACAGTGGATCAACATCAGTTGTTTATTTAAAGCGCCAAATCAGGAATAAGGGCGGGCACCCCAGAGGGCTTTAGTCTCCCTAGTTCAGTAGCTATTTAATCAACTGTTGGCACGATGCTGGGATACACTACTCACAATTTGACAATTAACTAATAACTGCTACTCCTCTGCCACTAATAATGACCTGGAAAGTTGATGGTGATTATCTGTCCAGAGTCATCCATATACATTGAAATAATAAATATCTATCATATGCATTTGTGTGCACTTGAATATCATATTTGGTATCAGAAAGGCTAAGTAAAATGAAGTATCCTTCAAGTTAAAACTTGAATCTTGTTAACGGTGTAGGTGTATCTCTGTGCTTTTGGGAACAACATGGAAATAGTTTCCTATTGCCATCTAAACTTTTTTTTAAAAAAATTCTGGTTTAGTCTTCATCTCATTCAAATAGTATCCAGTTTCAGGCTCTCTTATCCTTTTTAACATGACTCATTGTGGTCGTTCTTCTACATTCTTTGAACAAAAAAACCCCCTTGGCTATAAATATTCAATAGCCTGAATCCAGCATATCCAGAAAGAAAGTCCAACCAGTACTGGCCAAACCAGTTAGATCAAACAAGGAGAAACTCTTAACTGATCCCACATTTTCAGGAGATTCAAGGGCTGAGGGAAGAACATGCAGCTTTTCAGTGGCAATAGAGATATTGTGGAACAACCTCTCAGGAATGATTATGGTAGCTCCTACTTTTTGATGTTTCTAAGATTATTACAAATAACCTTATGGATATTCTAGAAATAATTAACAATTTCAAAGAGCCACCCCCCATTTCTAACTTCTGTTTTGTATTGTTTGCATTATGTCTGGTTTATGCTGCTGAAAGTCTTTGATTGCTCAGAGGTGCTATTTTTTATAGGTGCTTATAGGTACTTTTAGGTGCTTTTATAGGTGTTTATAGGTGCTATGGAAATACTCAGTCTCTAACCTCTGAGCTGAGTAGTTTTTCTGTTGCAGGTTGTAGCAAAATTGAAGTAATTCAGCCATTTTAATTGTCCACAGTTGTAATACTTTCATTTTAATTATTTTGTCTTATTGTTTCTTCAACTTAGTCCACCTATACAATAAATGCAGATTTATTAATCTTGGGATTTCTGTAGCACTCTAAATGGTCATAATGCGTACCAGTCTGTACCTAACATAAATTATATTTATTATTGTGATGAAATGAATTATGAAGTAATATCTTGGCTATTATAATTGCATCTTAGTTACACAAGCAAGGAATCTATATAGATTCTGTAGGAGCCGTGGAGTGCAGTGGTTAGAATGCATTATTGCAGGCTGACTCTACCCACTGCCAGGAGTTCAATCCTTTTTTGGGGGGGGTAGTATTTTATTAATTTTCTAATTTTACATTTAAGTATTTAAAAAGCAACATGGTGGCTGGGTTAATCGATAATTCAATAGCATACAAATATCTTTAGTACAAATCTCAAGGTACCACATCAAATATTTCCTCTCTTTTCCCCTTAATATCTACTGTCTCATATTTGAACTAATACAGTTCTTATTATATCAATTGAGTAAAAATAGCATTATTACATTTATCAATATTTTTTTAGCTTATACATATCCTAGTTGCTTTTACATTCAATCTTTATAGACAATCAATGTCCTGTTATTAGTTTTTCCCAATTTTTAGTTTCCCATCAATATTTAAATTTAACATTTGATATTTATAATTTCCAAGTTTTAGGTAACCAAAATTTCCTTTATCTCAATTCATAACAAAATCTAATATTCAAGATACACATCTTATCTATTTAAGTATATTCTATTTCCCACCATCTTGCATCATCTAGTTAATAATATAATATAACATCCTTATTTTCAACTAATTTCCAAATGTCTTAAATTTAATGACCAAAATTTCCCTTATTTCAACATCAAATACTTCCTCTCTTTTCCCCTTAATATCTACTGTCTCATATTTAAGCTAATACAGTTCTTTTTATATCAACTAAGTAAAAACATGCTTATTACATTTATCAATAAATGTTTAGCTTATACATCTTAATTACTTTTACATTTAATCTTTATAGACAATCAATATCCTATTTATTAGTTTTCCCCAATTTTTAATTTCCCATCATTATTCAAATTTAAGTTTTAATATTTATACTTCCAAGTTTTAAGTGACCAAAGTTTTCTTTATCCCAATTCATAACAAAATCTAGTATTCAAAATACACATCTTGTCTATTTGACTGTATTCTATTTTAATTAGTAATATAAAATCCTGTCTAATAAATCAAAACCCCAATTTTCTTCAGCCTTATTCTAGCTTATTATTGGTATCTAATTCTGAAGACAGTTCCATTATAATATTTGTTGAGAAATTTTATTTTGTTTCTATTGAATGTCATTGACAGTCACCTAAGATTATCATGTATAAGATAGGAACCATATATGTTTTCTAAATAAATATATTTAATCTCCGTAAACCAATATTTACTGTACTGAAAAACAATTTTGTAAAAAATTGGTTTAAAAGAGAACAATAAGGTACTGAATTTTTTTTCAGCTCGGAAGAAAAAGTTACAGTGCACTTTATAAATCGTGATGGTGATAAATTAACAGCCAAAGGAAAGGTTGGAGATTCTCTTCTAGATGTTGTGATAGATAACAATCTAGACATAGATGGATTTGGTAAGTAAATGTGTTTCCTTTCCTAAGAAATTTAAGTTGGGGGTTTTTTTATAAAAAAAAAAAAGAATTGAAACTGTGACTTGATTCAGAGTTAACCATTTCTAACCAGCAGCACTACTATAAGTGTATTTTTTTTTTGCTAAAATTAGGAAAAGAATATTGTTGGTTTGTGTAACTCTTCAACAGCTATGTGTTCTGTCAGCAGTCACTATTAGTGAATTGTAATTTATTCTTCTACAGGTACTCCTCAATTTACAACCACAACTGAGCCTGGAATATTGGTTTTAAGACATTGCAGTCTTTAAGCGAGATGCCCACATGACCACCTTGCTCAACAACCACAATACCAGCTCTCCCCTTTGTGGTGGTTAAGTGAATGGAATGAAAGAGCTCCCGGTCAAAGGGGGGCAGGTAGCTCCCCTCTGTGCACAGAACAGTTGCATATGGCCAGATGGATTTGGCCCATGTGAGGCAAAATCAGTCTGGCAGGCTGGCTTCAAATACCCAGACTGTAAGCGCCATGTGCCAAAATCCCACTTGGTTCCCAAATAGATGGTTGAAAAAGTTCCATCCCCCCAAAATGACATTTTTCCATTGACTTTCTGGGAAAACCGACAGGAAAGATTTCAAATGATGATCATGGGTGCTTGGCAACCTGCATAATTGCAAATGGACTGCCAAAAAGGTCACATTGCAAGTCACATGACTGCAGGGGTATTGCAACAGCAATAACTTTGGGCATTGGTTCTTAGTCTCATTGTTCAGCATCGTCATAATTTTGAACGGTTGATGAATGAATGATCATTGAGAAGACTACCTGTATATAATTTCTTTAGTTGTAGTCAAATCTATTCCTCAGTTTGAAAGCATCCTCTATGTATAATGGGGGAATCTTGGTTATATAGCTGAATTTGGACACCCAAAGCTGGATTTGTACGTTGTGTTAAACCATATTTTTACCATAATTTTTGGACAGGACATAGGAGCAAATTTTAAAATAATTGTAACACGTCAACAAACATTTACAGATGCAATCATAGGGATCCACAGGTAACCCTAAGCCAAAAGCAAATAAACTGCATTATGGTTTAAATAAAATACGTGAATTCTTCTGAATCTCATATAATTAGTGATTTTTTTCTGTTTATATTGCTATCTTTGCTATACCATTTAACCTGCCTTCTTCTTTGGCCTCAGACATGTGATCCTTCCGGTTTTGGTTATTTGAAGCTTTATCTCATCCAAGTTCTCTAATGCATTGCACTGAGTCTAGTATCACTTTATGAAATGTGTTTATTCAAAAATATTTTAATACAGCCTTTTTCAGTGAGTTATGAAAGTTTACAACATATAGGCAGTACAACAGCAAACATTTTAAATAGTAGATAAATTGTGATTAACAGGGCTAGAAATGTCAGAAAAGATTTAAGGGTAACATTTCCCAGAAAACAAAAAATTAGTCTTCAAGACTAATTTGCATGTGTTAGCAGAGTAGAATGATATGGTATCTTAAAACTGACTTCATACTTTTTAATATTCCAGATACAGAAAGTAAAATTGAAAAGTTTAACATTGTCCACATTCAGTCCTCTAAAAAATGATCAATTACATTCAATGATAATGCCTAAAAAAGAAAATGTCTGTTCCAGCTTTTTTGTCAGTAGGGGGCATAGCAGGCATACAGATAATATGTTGACATTTAACGCTTTAAATATTTGCCTGTTTGATGAAATCCTTCTCTTGTTTAGCATAATTCTTGTTCAATTAAAGATGCTATTGCTATTACAACATTATTTTCATGTTTTATCTTTTTTTTATTTTGGCTTTACAATTGTAGTTTATCTGTATTGTAGGCATAGGTATATCTTCTGCCTATGTTATCCTGATCCGTGATTATTAATTGATGATGCCTGTGATGCTTCATACAATCTCTTTAAACTATATTGTACAAATATTGTAACTGCCTTCTTCAACCTTATGTCCTCAGATGTGTTCAATTAAAATTGTCCTGAAAGTGGTTTTGATTTGTGAAAGATTTAATCCAATACAGTACCTCTAATGTGAATAACTTTGCTGAAATTGCAAACAAGACTGTTGCTTCCTGTTAATAAAATAATTTGTGTTGCAACTTTCATAGCACCTTAAGCTTATTTAATACATTGTTTTCCATAATGCCTGTGAAATGTTAATTCTCAGGAAGAGATAACATTAGTCCTTCCATTATCTCCCCCCTTGAAAATCATGCACTTTATGTACTGCCAGGTTTCTGTATGAAGGTGATTGTCTCACATTAATGAATGGGATTATGTTGTTGATGTTGAATGATGAACACAAAATGATGTTGAAAGGTAATGAATTAAACGTGTACCTAATTTATCTTTAGGTGCATGTGAAGGAACACTTGCCTGTTCTACATGTCACTTAATCTTTGAAGACCACATATTTGAAAAATTAGATGCAATTACAGATGAAGAAATGGATATGCTGGACCTTGCCTACGGCTTGACAGAAAGGTAAGGTGGAATCAACATAAAATCGTTGAAAATATCTTCACTGTTTTTATTCAATTGACCACGTGCTGCTTAGGTCAAGGACAGGCAGTGCCTATCTACCCATGGAAATTACTCTTGACAGACATCATGCTCCTTTTATTTATTTATTTTTTAATTTTAAAAGGAAAGATTTATTTATTTATACTTCAGATTTAGAGACCACCCATCTCAGTCACAAAGTAATTCTGGGTGGTATACAGTTCAAATATAAAAACCATAAATATGGTATCATTTTATTTATTAAAATATTCTTGCATTGCATATAGGCTTATAAGCATTCTTAGAGAATGGTGTACAGCTTCAGTCCAGAGTTCTGTTTAAATGTGCTCCTTGCTTAGAAAACTAAGATGCCCTGGGATAATAGGGAGTGGAGGTGGCAGTGCTGTAGGATGTGGTATGAATTAACTTCATTAATATTTTTTGATTGAACATACTCATTGTGCCTGTCATTAATGGACATTTTGGTAGAATATTTACTACTACTTTCAAAATTCAAAATTTCAAATGTCCCCAGTAGCTAGTGTGTTTATTATCCTTGCTGATTTTATTATCTACTTTTTAATGTGCAAAGTATTATCAGTTATCAAGTCAGGAGAGGATTGAACATTTTTGTTTCAGCATTTGGTTAATGGTAGTTTACGAGTTTAATCCAAACCTATTTGCAAAGTTGACTTTTGTTGTCCCTACTTAGGCTCTGAACTTTGGCCTTTAAAGAGCAGAAATGCTTCTTGTCCAATGTTTGTATATCTCTATTTTCTTTACCTTTCCAAGATTTGCTTAGTGTCTTCTCAGAATTAATATCTAAAACAATGTTAGATTTTCACAGAACAAGAAATTCATTTATTTAAGTTAGTCTTCCATGAAACTTCCATAAGCTTTGTAAACCTTTTTTTTTTTTTGCCATATTCTTGTGTAACCCAAAAGGAAATATTTCTCTATTATGAATTCTTGGATTTTACATCAAAGTTATTTTATAAAGTTGTATAAAGTTAATTACAATATATGCAATACAGATTGGATATAGAAAAGTTGAGGTTTATCTTTTCTCCTTTAGCTAGAAAATATGCAGAGAAGTGAATATACAAAGCAAATTGAACTGTCCAATTAGTCTTCCCCAATCAAGCCCCTTTCCAGATGTAGAAGCTACAGCTCCCAGCCAAAATGATCACTGTTGAGAATTATGGGTTTTGAAGTCTGTACAACTGGAGGGTCCCAAGTTGGGAAAGGCTGGCTTAAGGCTAAATATATATAGACTTTTCAGTTTTCTGTCCTTGCATATCATACTGAGTAGACTTTAGCTTCTTATCCTTCATCAATATATTTTTCTAATATATTTTGTGTTTGTAATTTTGTACAGATAGTCCTCGACTTACAACCACAACTGAGCCCAAAATTTCTGTTGCTAAGCGAGATAGTTATTAAGTGAGTTTTGCCCCATTTTATGACCTTTCTTGCCACAGTTGTTAAATGAATCACTGCAATTGTTAAATTAGTGACACAGTTGTCAGGTAAATCTGGCTTCCACATTGATTTTTTTTGTCAGAAGATCACAAAAGGTGATCACATGATCACAGGATACTGCAACTGTCATAAATATGAGCCAGTTGTCAGGCATCTAAATTTTGATCACGTGACCATGGGATGCTGCAACGTAAGTGTGAAAAACAATCATAAGTCACATTTTTCTGTGCCATTGCAACTTCGAACAATCACTAAATGAATGGTTTGAAGTTGAGGATTACCTATAATTATAATATTACAGCAGTGGAATGTTATAATATTGTCATTCATACAATATGCTTTTTTCCTTCTCTAGATCACGTTTGGGCTGTCAAATTTGCTTGAAGAAATATATGAACAATATGATTGTCCGAGTGCCTGAAGCCGTTGCTGATGCCCGGCAGTGTGTAGATATGAGCAAGAACCCATAAAATAATGCTTAAGGATTGATGCTTGTTCATTGATATTAAAAATATTTCACTAGTTATTTTTAATTTTTTAAGAAATTGAAATAATCATCCTTTGATTATCTGTGTTAATAAGGTATGGTTTTTTAAAAATTACAGTCAGCCTTATTTTGAGAGAATAAAACAAAAAGATATTTAGAAGGGACCTGTGGAGTGATAGAAACATGATAAAATACAGTTAAAGAGCAGGCGGTTTCCTTTTAAGGAAATCACTCCTTTTATTTTCATTTAATAATGCATAATTACTGCTGCTGCATTCATGTTTTTCCAAGTAATAATTACATGCTGGATTTGCAGTAGCTGAGAATAAAAGTCATCTTTTAAATTATATTTTTCACACTGAAGCACTGAAAATACATTTACCAGAGAGTGATATTAGTCACTATTAGCTGATAAATTTTGGCACAAACTAATTGTAAGATTGTGTAATTGTACAAAATCCTATTGAACCTTGTAGGAGTTGCATATTCATAGTTGTAGGCCATGTTGTGGCAAACATGTCGGAGCATTTCCAAAGATTTTTTTTATCAGAAATACTGCATAAATACCATGTTATTTTAAGGAAGTTGCACGGGCAAATATGCATTTGGTATGGTATGTTTCATTTCACGAACAGATGTCTTATTCCCAAAATGATAGAAATATTCTCCCTAATAGAAGATAGAAAAGAGGGAGCCTTATACTGCATTGTGATGGGGCTTTAAATCAAATGTCCAACTTCTGACCCACTTCCTCTTCTATCCACAGATTAAAACTGGCAGCAAAGTAGACAGCAGAATTAAATTTTTAAACAAAATTGTCGTATTCTGGTACAAATAGCAACATTCAAGTGATCTCTGGTGAGAGAACATCAGAAACTGAGAAGGGGCTTTTTTCAGTTACCGCCCATCTCATATCAGCGCAGACACCCGAATGAGGGGGCTCAGATTATCTCAGAATGTAGACAACTGGGAGATGCAACAGGCATTCCTTTGGATACCCTGGTCCAAAGCCATGTAGGAAATTTCTTACATAGAAATACCAAAGCCATGGTATTTCTTATATAGATCTTTTGAGTCAGTTCCATCTTTTGAAGTTTTTCATATATGCTATCAGACTACGTAGGATATTAATTTGTAGTGTATGGCATGTTATATAAAAGAATATGATTATTTCCAGTATGCACCAAGCCATTGAAAATTAAATGAGCTAAGGAAAAAATAAACACTGTCATCTTCCTATGGCAGTCCATAAGAGCTAAATAGTCATATGGATTACAATGAGTCCATTGGCCATAGAAAAAGGGGAGGGAGGGAGGGAGGGAGGGAAGAAGGCATGTTTTCAGTCCTCTGTTTCTTTATCTGCATTTTGAAAGTAGGGAAGAAATTAATATTATGTAAATGTCTTAGATTTTGTTGACTCATCAACCATTGAAAACAACTGACTATGAAATGACAAGCGCAAACAAACTGCACTGTCAAGGTGATCTGTGCTTTCTTTAAAAAATGTTTCTTGAAATAACTGCCATGAAAAACTAGGTAGAGTCAACACTTAGTATAACTTTTGTACCTATCTTATAAATATTGATTATTTAAACTGCTGATGCGGTACTTAGCATTTTTCAGAATCTGAAAATAAACCTTGTATCTAGTTTTCTAAGCTCCTTCATCGTGAGCAGATGTCTTTCATTTTCGGAATATTAACAATTGTCAGGAAATCATCTTTTACTGGAAGAAAGAGTTTTCTTGAAACAAATATAAATGGTTAAAGCAATGGATATCTCCCTAGCCTTCAGGCTTTTATTTCCCCCCATAATAATACTCATGAGAGATAGGTTGGGTTGCAAAAGATTCTGGTGGATCCAGAATCGCTTTCATGGCTAACAGCTACTCCAGCCCTAGTCTTAGTCTCCTACATTTGAAATAAATGTATTTTGGTGCATAACATTTGAATAATAAAAATAAACACTTTATCATAATCTTTTCCTACACAATAAAGTACACTAGTGTGGCAAAAAGGTTTCTGTACTGAGTGTAACTGGGAGAGGAGGACCATCACTCATTAACTTTTTTTGTGAATGTGCTTTGGGTTTTTTTCAATTGTGAAGTTTTTGCAAAATAGATTTGAGAACACTATTGTGTCTTCTACCACAGCTTAGTACATCTGGCTTTAATAGAAAAGCCAAAGCTGCATTCCTGGACTTTTGGCCATGCTTTATGTTTCTTTTATCAACTTTAGGTTTAAAGTGGAAGTAAAATTCAATAATAGATTCAAGAGTCTATAGGACAGCTTAGAATGTTTTCCATTACTGATAACTTTACCTGCATGAGATGGGAGATAGAAATGATTAACATTTCATTTCTAATGCCTGCTTGTTCTGTGTATTCTGACAATAGCTTAGAACCTGAAGAGTTACTCTATCAATTTTTTTAGATTCTGGCTGTTGCATCCAATTCTGGGAACAGTGGGAAACCATATCTGGATAGACTGTCCTTTGGAGAAATACTGTTTGAATAATCAGAAGAAACGTTTGTTTTAAAATCTAGTGTTTGAGAAAAGAATATTGTTTCTGATGAGAAAAATATATTCTACCAGCCAAATCTGCACCACACTGTATACATCTGTTTGGTGGATTCTCATGTTTTTAATTAATGATGCTTCCTGTTTTGACCATTGTCAATTTTGCAAGGATTATATAATTTATTAGAAAGATTTAAGGATTACCTTCTGCTCTAGTGTATACTGAAAACAGTCAACAGAAGTTAATATATGAACAAAATACAATTAAAATTAAATACTAAAATTATTTAAGATTAATGAGATTTGCTAAATGTGTCTCCAAAGGAAATGCTTACTGGAAACCGCATAGGAGATGGTCCTCTCTTGTATGACAGAAAAATTAGTCTTTGACAATGGGGTCAAATTCAAAAGGGCCTCTTCTGTAGACCTTCACAACTGGATAGGCCGTAATAAATTTGATCTTTCTGTGGCCTCATTAGGTTAACAACAACACTTGGTTAAATACATTTGGTTAATTGGTTGTGCAAACATAGTCATTAACTATGAACCCATTCTCTGAGTACCTTGCTAGTTGGCACTCTGAAGAGCATTCCACAAACTGCAATATTTTGTTGCAGTTTTCAGTACTTACATCCAAGGGAAAAATATGCTTTAGAAGGGAAGTTTCTTTTTTAAAAGAAGAATGAAATATCTCTTGTTTGTAAGGCATATTTTTTTTTTTTAAAAAAAAAGATTTTTTCTCATCTGAGGAATTTCAGATCTTGAAGATTATCACGTGTGTTGGGAAAGAGAAAAGGTTACTTTCTGTTCTCAGAATGCAGAAATTTTCATTTTGTATCTGGCTGACTTATCTCTTACAGAGGCAAAGCTCATCTAGGAATTTCTGTTTGAAAGGATTGCATGAAACTAACCATCTTGGTGTTCTCTTGAAACCTGTGGTATTGATAAGGAAATTTCATCAGATCAAATTGGGTTGTTTACCAAGAATGGCAAGATTATTAATAAAAGTATATAACTTCTAGAACAATTCCTTAGTGATAACTCCATGCTATAGGATCTGTTGAAGTTTACCACAGTCTGCCAAAACACAGAAATCTAAACTTTCATTTAAAAATGCTTTTAACTACAATTCTTATTATCCTGCAGGGAATGAATAACAGCTAAAATATCTACAGCATATTAGACTGGGGAAAATTGTTAGTACTGAGATACTCTGTCAATTTTCCTTTCTTCTGCCTTTTTTTCTTGGCAAATTGGGCATAAATCCTCCAAAAGGGAGTAGATTTTTTCTTTCCAGCTGCCTTCAGTTCCAGGTGAGTACTGTTCTCTGGTGTTGAAAATTTTCTCCAAAAATCCCGGTCTGTTCCTGCAAGATAAGATACATTAACCTGTATCACCAATAATATTTCTTTTTATACTGTATGTACAGTACTGTAAAATAGAAAAGGTGACAACATAAATCCCTTCTGGCCTATTTCTTTTTGCAAGAGTTCCCCAGGAAATAGTAGCTATGATTCCTGACATCCTGGTCTTTCTAGTTGAAAAGGTCTTAATCCTCTTACCCAGAACATATCCCTTCAGCCCAACTCTAGGAAAACAAAAAGGGAGATACTTTGAAAACCTTTCTGCCTAAAATCCCAAATACAGAAACTATTGGGCCTGTCCTCAAACTCAAAATTATAGAACTCTGCAGTCTTGAGGAAATTTTAATGAAAAATTCCCTTCTAAAATTAATAAAGCCAGTTTTCTAGATAAAAACAAAGGGTTTATTGGGAGATTTCCTGCACTGGGTCATGGAAATGACTTCTGCAGCTTTTTATACTTCCAGTAGTGCAGGGGTCTTTAACCTGAGGGTTTTTGGATAATTTTCAGGGTGTCCGTGAACTTGGGATAGTATATAAAATTACAACTTTATTTTCACTAACCTCTCACTGAAATTTAGCTTTAATTTATATTTTTACTCAACAATAATGTAGGCAGCAAAGTAATTTATGGCCTCCAGCCTGCAAAAATAGGATTTAATTTCAATAAATCTCACTATGTAAAAATTATTATATCCTTAAAAAGTGAGAACAGAATACATTTTATTGTTCGCAGTACCCTTTTCTCCAAAACCATATAAGTGATAATTGTCAATACTTGTATGCCCAAATGTCTATACATGCCAGTAATATTTTGATAATTGTATTTGAGCATAATCAGTTTCTTTTGTTACACAATTTATGCATTTTATGCATTTAAATATTTTTTTCTGAGAACATATCCGTGGGTTTCCTTAGATTGTGAAAGGGGACCAGTCTCCCCAAAAGGTAAGAACCCCTGCTTTGAAGTCTTTTTTTTTCTAAATAAGTAAACTACTCCTGGAAAAGTTCTCCCAGAGAGACAAAATCAAGTTAGAGTCAGAATATGCTACTAATCCTTATGGAAGAGTGAGCTACTGTACCTCATGAGATAAATATATCTAAAGATAACCCATTAGTTGACCCAGATTTCTGGTGCCAGTTGTGAAG